AGTTATTATATGACTGCACAATTAAAAAAAACAACTAAAAAACAACTGAAATTTTATCATTTAAGTTGTAAAGAAAGTCTACAATAATGTAGGTCCTTAAAGAAGACATATAAATTGAGTTATGACAGACAAAATTAACTGAAAGTTTTTAATTTTACATAATTTCAACTTACCATAACTTTTATAAAGTTGAAAATATTTTTCAAAAGTAAACATTTTTTATAAATTTTCCTAATTAAAAACAAAAAATGAATGGCAGGAAGTTAAATTGCACATAAACAACAAAAATTAAACATCATTAATCCCTACCTATCAAAGACAATCCAAAAAACTAACAAAATCTGGACATTTTTCTTTTGAGTCTAATAATTTGAGTAGGTACTATATATATATATATATATATATATATATATATATATATATATATATATATATATATATATATATATATATATATATATATATATATATATATATATATATATATATATATATATATATATATATATATATATATATATATATATATGTATATATATATTTATATCATTGCTGAACTTAATAGTGTTTGTAGTAGTAGTAGTGCCCCTTCGAGCGTGTTTGACATGGAACCCTTGGTGGCCATTACAACTGATGTGATGGTGAGAAAGAGTTGCAGTACATCTTGTAAAAAGAAAGCTTGAGCGAAAGTGTATAGAAATATCCAACTTATGTAAACTTAAAACTATGTAATGTTAAAACATATTAAAACATGTATCAAGCTTTACAGTTTTACTTTTATTTGAAAACTGTATTGCGGCAACTTCTGCTTAATTTTGATCTATAGCATTATTTTCCGTTAAAAAAATTATTATATATTTTTAAATTAGGGAATAGCGCGCAGATCTTCTGAACAATGAAGCTGTGGATCAAGTCCTACCACTGGTGACTTTTTATTTTATTTTTTATTACATTAAAATACAAAATACTTTTGAAGTTTTATAGAGATTTATTTAACATAAGTAACAATATTATACATTTTAACAAACAAAAAGATTTTTGTTTATTAAAATGTAAAAAAAAAAAAGCTAAAAATTCTAAAAACATCAAAACACCAGGAGAAAAATTTGTTGCGTATGTGTCATGATTGAGATACTTATGTTATTAATGTGCTCAGGTAATTAGTCTTAATAAGCTGCGGATGGTCTGAAAAAAAAATGTCTGAAACTGAATAAAGAAAAAATTTTATAAGACAGTCCTGCTACTACAGAAGGTGCTGCTGTGGAGGCAAAAAAAAAAAAAAGCCTATAGCTGAAAAAACTTTCATTTGACAATTAAAAGTTTTTCTTGCTACATTTACTTTTTTACTATAAATATATGCTGCAACCATTTATCAAAACACCTTAATATGATTATTAAGTATTTCGAGAAAAATGCAATTAAAAAAAAATTATTAGGAGAAACTCTTTGTGGAACGTTTTTTGAAACAAATAACTTGTTTGAATTTTTTCAGAACTCTTTGAAAATATATATTTAATAATGTTTGTAGACATCTAAACTAGTTTATTTTTTAAAAAAGTCGAAATTGATTTTTTTTATTATAAGGTGTTTTAAAAAATGGCTTCAGTATGGATGATACAACGAATATGTTGAGATGAAATAATTTGACACAAAAATATCTCATTTCCACATATATACTTATAATAAAAGTAATTGCAGTTTAGTGCACTTAAAAATTTTAGGTATAATGTTTGGTGTTTGCAAAGAAACATATAAATCATTTTTTAATTTTAATACAACTTAATTTTTTTTTCAACTTTGTTGCACTTAACCATCCATATAAAAAAAAAATATATATATATATATATATATATATATATATATATATATATATATATATATATATATATATATATATATATATATATATATATATATATATATTATATATATATATTAACAAATATGTTATTTGTTTATATATATTGTTTATAAAATGTAAAAAATCCACTTATATAACGTTTTATTCAGGATAGTATGTAATATAAGTAAACTTTTCTAATAATTACAAGTCTTTTAAGCACAAGCTGTTTTGTTTTGATTTTTTTAGGTATGTTATTATATTTTTAAAAATTGACAAGATTGGAAAAACATGAAACATATTGATACCTAAGCGGAAAGTTTGAAACTTCTATTTTAGATTTGCCCCTCTCTTGATAATTTCTAATTGCTAATATTACATTATCTGCTTCTTATCACCATGATTGGTTGAAATTTGGACAATTTTAAATTGAGTTTTCTCAAAAACCACTTAATCAATTGTTATAACTTTTTTTTTTATAATAAATTATAAAATTTTTATAATGATGCTAACATAATTAGTTTTCTTGTGAGTGGGTGTAGTTTTGTTTACTCCTTGTTAGTTTTTGCAATGTCGAGTAAAGAGTCAGAAAATCGAAAAAAAAAATTTTACATAGAAAATCCATCATTCTCATATTCCATGATTTCAAAAGCATGTAAAATTCCAAAATCAACTGTTGAAATTATTATGAAATGTTATAAGGAAAACAAAACTGTAAAATAAAATCAGGAAGTGGTGGAAAATCAAGATTTATTTTCGAAAAAAAGGCAAAATAAATTGTTGACTCAATTCATCAAAATCCAATTCAGTCACAAGATTTCACTACTTTCAAAGAGTATTCAAAAAAGAAAATCTAAAAGAATATTACAAGAAAAAAATACAAAAAGGTTGCTTAATGGAGAAATCAAGGCAACTGGATTAGCTAAAAATTTTCTTAAATTAGTTATGAAAAAAAATGTGTGCATTTTAGAAGACGATGTAACTTACTGTGAAAAAGATCACTCGATGCTTTGATGTAATCAATAATATTATCAGTCAAAACATTATACAGCTTCTGACAAATTTAAGTACATTTTAATAAGAAAATCACTTTTGAGTTCTTTTTGTAGCAGGCAATTTGCAGTTGAGGTTTTAAAAGCTCTCCTTCCATAACAAATCAATTTTTGACACCAGATCTATATGTGAGTGAATGCTTGAAAAAACTACTTTTTTTAAATATAAAGCATAAATAAATGACTTCTTCCTCTAATTAAAAAGCACAAATAATCAACCTTATTTTGGCCAGATCTGGCATCAAACTCAGCGGTATAGGTAAAAAAGAGTCAATTTTGTTCCAAAGAATGCAAATCCATCAAACTGTCCTGAGCAGCGAGTTATCAAATCTTACTGGTCAATTGTAATGAGAATATTGAGGAAAAGAGGCAAATGTGAAAATAGTGTTAAAAATTTCCGAGATTAATTAATTAATGCTACAAAAAAAGTGGCGTAAAATAAAATTGTGGACGATGGTGGGTACTTTACACAAAATTAAATTACTTGCATGTCCTAAAGTTAAGGTAATATTTATTTTTATTGAAATAAAAATTAATTATGCATCATTAAATTTTAATCAAATACAATTGAAAATCATTACAATTGATTAAATTGTCTTTGAGAAAACACAATTTAAAATCGCCTAAGTTTCAACCAGTCATAGTGATAGACCATTAAAATGATAGACTAGCTTTTTTGTAAATTGAAGCCACAATTTTTTTTGCGACATCAATGTGGAAAAAAAACTAGAAAGACAAACTAGAAATAAGATTCTTATTTAAAGTTTTTAGAAAAATAAAATTTTTGTTGGTGGAAATGATTTGTTATCTTCGGTTTTTATGTTGACAAAAAATTTTAGAATTTTTCCATTTTCTTATTTTAGATTTTGTGTAAGTATTTTTATTAAAGATATATGGATTATATTTTTATGGTAAATAATCTAATAAGACAAAAACTATTCATTTATTACTATTGTAATAAATACAAACTCATCCGTGAAATGATTTATCTGTACCAGTTTTATACCTTTTTGTGCAATTGTATGCAACATAATTAAAATTAATAAAAAAATGTAAAATAAAGGCAAAAGAAAACTAGACGCATTAAGGTTTATTTTGCCACAAACTGATGTCAACGCACAAAATTTTTTGGCCTAGATTTTAGATTAGTGTTTAATATTCTTTAGTTTTTTTATTTTTGTATGACTTATGACCATTTGCATAGTGTTATGTACAAAGGTCTGTAAGTGTAAATGTTTTTAGCATATGTTGATCTTGCAGGTATTATATGGAATAATCGCGTATAATATGTCTATAAAATGAGAAAACTTTAAATTATATTTTAAACTTTAGAAATCTTTTTTGCTATATTACTATTTTTTGCTATAAATATATAAGCAAGATTATAAAAATTTCAAAATTTATTACGCTAAGAGGAGGTTTTAGACCCCCTAAAACAACACTGATGACAGCACACTTAACCACTGAGCTATCAATAAAATGCATTTAGCAGAAAAACAAACCTATAAGTTTCTTATAAGCTCTACATATGCAGAAAAGGTGCGCATGTTAAGTTTTTTGCTCTTAAAGTTTTTTTTCAGAATAAATTATTTTACTAAAAAATATTAAAGTAAATAAGGAATAGGTATAGAAATAATCGGTGTGGAATAGATATGTAAATTGGTAAAGATCTGTATTTTACGGATCCGTAAAGCTAGGATATATAAAGAAAAAGTATAGAAAAGTTCGATTTGGAATAGACTTACAAAGACCTGTATTTTTACAGGTCCAATCTCAGCTAGTATATATTATTCTGATTCACTATTAAGTTGGAAGTTACTAGAAAATAAAGAATAGAGTTAAAAACCAAGGAAACAATTGACAGAAGACTTTAAAAATTGTAGGTTGTACAAGTCAGGAAAACATGAAGATGGAAGAGAGTTCCAGAGAGTTGAAGTGAGGGGAAAAAACTAGACAAATAAAAGTTTTTAAAGTATGCAGGGATATATATGTAATATATATCCCTGGTATCCCATATGTAAGGCAACATTATTTAATAAGTGTATAAACTGTTCAAGTCAAACATGTCTGCAGTTTTAAAAATACAAACCAATATAATAAATATTTACTAATTCTGGTCCACGGATTGGGTTCAAACGAGTTTGATTGAGTATATTATCATCTAAATGGTTTAAATATTGGATAACAGGATCCTTAGATTGCCAACTTGATACCAATGTTTCAATATTGAATACATGAGCACAAATATGCAATGCTAAAAATATTTAACAATACAAAATACAGCATATAAAACATACAAACATAAACATATATATACAAACAAGCATACACACACACACACACACACACACAAACACACACACACACACACATATATATATATATATATATACATATGGTTATATATATATATATATATATATATATATATATATATATATATATATATATATATATATATATATATATATATATATATATATATATGTATAAATTAGTAGAAAATCACTTAAAAATTTTTCATTTAACACTGTGTTTCATCAGTAAAGACTCATCAGAAATGAATGATCAAATTAATAAAACTTATTTGTTAATGTTTTTTACCCTAGTTAACCCATTAATGACTTCCTTTAATGAAAGGAAGTCATTAACGGGTTAACTACTGTAAATTTTTACACATTTGTGGAATATGCTGACACTTATAAAAAGAATTCTTTAGAATTGGTTACTTCTACTTTTTTTTTAGGTATTTTTTAAAAGAGGGATTTGATGTAATTATTATTTGAGCTCACTTATTTTAATAGTTTTTTAGGAGAAACTTATTTTCGTGCCTGCATTTAGAAATCAATTCTGACTTCTAAATGCAGGAATAAGAATATTTATCAAACTTTTTGTTTGATAAATATTCTTGGTTCGCATGTGTAATTATTTCAAATTTCTCCTATGCGCATTGTATGCATTTTTTGGAAATATTGTTATATGAAGGTGCTGTTTTAAGGATGCATCAATTCAGTATAAAATCATCAATATTTTTATCTTTTAATTCCCATATATATTTTGACACCATGGTATCTTTTGAATAGTTTTTATTTTCATTTTTAAAGGATTGCTTATGATTGACAAAATGTTTTTTCGATTCACCCTCTGTTAATATATTGTTTATCAGGCACATTCTTAGAGGAAACAATACATTTTTTGATAAACAATTCACTCATTGGACAATTGGTTTTTTGTTTACAATTACAATTTTCTGTCATTTTTTCATATAGGATTTCTTTTTTGTTTAAGGAAATATTACTGTGTTATTTTATAATTCTTTCCGTATTTTTTGTGCAACTATAGCTAATTTTAATTGTTTCGATTAAAAATATTATGTAATTTATTAGAGGGTGGATGCTTATTGACCAATTTAAAAAACACTTTTCCTTTGTTAGTGGAAATGTTTTTGCTGATAAACGGTATATGTGATGCTGATAAACGGTATTTGCTGATATGCGGTAGTGGTGTAGTGGTAAGAGCACTCGCTTTGTAAACGAGAGGTTCGGAGTTCGACTCCCACCATGTCCCTGGAAGTACGGTGCTCAACTCAATTTCTCCGCGCAGCGGCCTTGCTTGTCAAGGTTTGAGTTTCGGAGTTAAAGAGTTGAGAGAGGGTTGTACCACGATTAACAACAAAAAATAAATAAATAATTAAAAAAAATGAGCAGCCTCCTTGACTGTAGTGGCCCCCTCAGGCCTTGGGGAGGTGAATAATTAAAAAAAAAAACATATATGCTTATATAAACGAATAACATTTATCAACTCACAATATAAAACTATGAAAAACTTTATGCAAAAATATTACTAGTTGAGTACCGGATTTTTTTGCCGGATATGCCGGATATTGAACTTTTCTAAAGTTTTATAAGTGTTTATGAAGAAAAAATAAGTCATAAACAGTATTCAAGATCTTACTTTAAAAAATCAAAAAAAAAACTGTATAATATGGGATATGTGATGAAGAAGTATAGAAAATAGTAAATAAAAAAAAACAAAAATTGGGCTGTAAAAACAATTTTTCCTTATACATTATTGACGCATATATCTGTTATACAAGTTTTTTCTTGATTTTATTTTTTTAAATCTTGAACGTTATTTAATGTAGAATGACAAGACTTGCTTTTTCTTCATAAACACTTATAGAACTTTAGAAAAGTTCAATATCTGGCATATCCAGCAAAAATATCCGGTACACCTCTAGTTCTTATGAGAAAGCCCCTGAAAATAAGGAAAATGCATTTAATTTTGAAACCAAAAGTATTGCTAAAAATAAACCTTGATAACAGAATCGAATCAACTGCCCCTGCTCAAGCCTTTCTAACACTTAGAGACCATAAACTAAATTTTCAAAACAAACTTCCTTATAGGTTATTGGTTCTCTCAAAAAATGAGACTTATAGGTTATTGGTTCCCTCAAAAGTGGATTGGATTGGATGTAACATGTAAGCAAAATTAAATCAGACAATATTAAGAATATTCTTAGAAATAAACTATATATATATATATATATATATATATATATATATATATATATATATATATATATATATATATATATATATATATATATATACATATATATATATATAAATATATATATATATATATAAATATATATATATATATAAATATATATATATATATAAATATATATATATATAAATATATATATATACATACATATATATATACATATATATATATACATATATATATATATACATATATATAATATATATATATATATATATATATATATATATATATATATATATATATATATATATATATATATATATATATATATATATATATATATATATATACATATATATATTTACTCATAAAGTTTACTTTAATTATCTCTTATTTAAAAGACACCTTAATTTAAGGTGTAATGTAAGGTTTAATGTAAGTTAAAGCACTGTGAAAAGCAATTTTTTTATTATATATAAATTTAACAAATTATATTTAATAAAAAAACTGCCTACATAAAATAAGTTACATTCACTAAGATTTTTTTTAAACATTAAAGACATAGAAGTTTAAAAATAACTAAAATTTTAGTTAAAAATTTTTATTAAGTTATTTTAATTATTATTTTTATTATTATTAAAGTTGGAAAGAATATAAAGACAAAACTTTTTGAAAAAGTTTTTGTTTATTATTTGTTTCCCTAATTTAAAATAAAATAGCAAGCAATAAAAAGCAAAAATCAAACATTCATTCATTGAAAAATTAAATTTGCATGATCACTATATTGTTATTACCAAAACTTTGACTTTTGCTCAATTATTATTTAAAACAGTTAACTCTTAATTGCCAAAAAGCAAAAGTTGACAAAATTTTATTTTCTTCTGGATGAACATTTTAAAATCGTTCTATCACTCAAAGTTAAAAATTTCATAAATTTTAATTCATTTATTTGAAACCTAATGTTCAGTTAGTAACCAAACAACAGTTTTAAATGTTAAACAAGTTATGACACAATTACTTTTTAATTGACTTCATTGTCCTGAAAAGAAAACGAAAAAGTGAAATAAATTGAAATAAAAAAATAAAGTGAAATAAAAAAATAATAGTGAATCAGAATAATATATATATAAGAAAATGAAAAGTTTTCTGTTTATTTAATAAACAAAAAACTAGTTATTTTTATTGCATTTGAAATTTTAATGAAATTTAAAAATTGAAACTAAAATTGAAACTTTTTTTCATATTTTTAATAAAAAAAGCAAAAGAAAAATAAATAAATAATAAATATTTTTAGGGGCTTTTTTTCGGGCGCCCATACTGCTCCAGTGGTATGAAAACAGGTCTGCCTTTGTACCTGTATATATAATTATGAAAAGTCAGTATATATGTATGTATGGATATATATATATATATATATATATATATATATATATATATATATATATATATATATATATATATATATATATATATATAAATACATAGAAAATTTTATTTTTATTATTCTAACTTTCCATCAAAAATGTTTAGCAAAAGAAAAAAAGAGATGTTATACGACCCTTTAAAAAAGAAATCATAAAAGAAAAATATTAAAAAACTTTATTATCTTGCAATAGCAAGAATATTTATCTAGACAATTTTAAGCTAAAAAATAGTACACGTTAAATTATATTTTATATTATCACTACTTTTGATATTTTAAATTTTGTTTGTTTGTTTGTTTTGTTATAATGATTGATTTTATCAAAAAAAATGAAAAAACATTATTACAAACTTTAAATGACATCTTACAAAAAGTTTATTTTTTCAAATAAAAAGAAAAAACTTATTAAATTAAAAGTTATTAATATTATTAATTAAATTAAATTATTATATACTTAAATTAAACTTATTAATAAAAAGAAAAACTTATTTTATGGATATAACTATTATTATTTATTTTGCTTGAACTTACACTTAAAGCAATATAATTCTTGCAATACTTTCGTTTATATTTATAAGTTTTATTTTGCAAAAAAATAATATTTTGGAAAAACATTATTTTTCTACTTTTCTATTTTTTACAAAAAAATTAAATTTCTCATAAACATGTTATAACTTTTAACATTCCATCAAAAAAATATTCATAAAGCGTACGTTTAACTTTTTGTCTCAAGGCAAGTGAAAGTACAATAGTATATAATTTTTAATAAATGGTACTTGGAAACTTAAATCTTTGTTCAAAAAAAAAGCATTGGTAAAGTAATTAATTTGAGTTTTTTCTTTGCAACAAGAAATATTTTTTGTTTGTCAATAACTTTTTAGAAGTAAAAATCATTAAGCTGCAATTTTGCAAATTAAGAAAAAAAAATTACCATATTTTAATTCATTTATACAAATGTAGAGAAAAAAAGAAATTAATTTATGTTAAATGATAATAAAAAATATTAAGTTTAATTATTTAAAATTAAAAAAAAAAGAATTGAAACAAAATAGACATTCCACATACTGTACATTTAAATAATACTTCTTTGTTCTGCTTAATTATTAAAATAAAATTGCTCTGCGGTATTTTATTTTATTGCGGTTGTTTAAAAAAGTTAATATCCTTAAA